CCTTTGAGTCGCTGGTGCAGTACCACTTGCATCAGGCGGCCTGCCATGGCGCCTCTCTTCCGCCCAACCTGGGGATCAGCCCCTCCGCACCTCTTGACCCTTTTCGTCAAGACTGGCGGGGACGGTTGTTCCGCCGAGGAAAGGACGGTGAGTATGGGGAGGTGCCCATGCTCCGAGTGATTCGGTACCACAAAGCCAACGGGTACGATCACTCGAAGGTCCCGCTCCTGAAGAGAGGGGACCGAATCCAGCTTGAGGACGGGTCGCACCACATTTATGGTGGTAGTCATCCGCCGGGGTGATGACCCCGAGCTGGATCCCGCTCCAGAGAGTAGCGGTGGAGGGTCCACGCCCAAGAGCGAGCCCACGGAGGAGGCCGAGCCGGGACCTCCGCGGGAGGCCGCTCCGCGCGGGCGGGCCCTCGAGCCGCCGAAGAGCGACGTTCAGCAACGCCTTGCAGAGCGTCGTTCCAAGCGGGATTATTCGCCAGACCTGGTGACGCCTCTCGACGATCTCCATGCCCAGGAGATCGATTCCTTCTTCGCGGGCGACCCAGCCGCGGACAGCCTTGACGTCATTCTGATGCGCGCCGAGGTTCGCACTGAGTCCCACCTCAACGTTGGCCGGGAGCAGAAAGAGCCCCTGGTCAAGGAGGAACAGGAGGAGGAAGCTGAGGTTGTCAAAGACGAGGAGGTCTCGGTTGAGATGGAGGCGGGCACCGCGGATGAGGCGGACGATGTCGCGCTAGCCTACGTCGAAGGCCGCTTTTACCCCTACGGCAGCTGGCGGTGCTTCTTCTGCGAAGCCATCAACCCGGTTACCGAGGACCAGTGCCTCACCACGCACGCGGGCGGCCCGAATGCGGGCGCCCCGTGCGACGGCCGATGGATCAATGGGATCGACATCGGGTGGTGGGAGGTAGATCCTCAAACCGCGCCAGAGCAATGGAGGCGGAGGTTTTCTGCCGAAGAGCTTGAAGAACAACAAGCGCGGGCAGATGCCGCGAGGCTCCTCAGCGATGAGGAACTCGCTGAAGCCCTCCAGGCGGCCGAGGAGGCGCAGGCGGCCGAGCGCGCCAAGAAGCGAGAGCGGCGCCAGGCGGAGAAGGCGGAGCGCGATGATCACATCAGCGAGGCGCTCCGCATAGCAGGGTGGCAGTGCCCTAACTGCTATGAATGGAACCTTTCATTCAGGCAGCTGTGCTTTCGGTGCAGCACGCCTCTCCGCTTGGCAGAGGTCGTTTCTCGCGGGATCCCTGATCCGCGGCGCGGCGAAGAGAGGGACTCGGGCTCCGAAAGCAGCCAGGACGAGCTGGAGTACGAGATCCTTCTGGCCAATCGTGCGATGGACCAAGAAACCATCCAACCTCTTCTTAGAAACAAACACAAGAAGAGGGGCGGCAAGCGACGTCGCGAAGAGGCGACGTACGGCAAGGGCCGCGACCCTTCGAGTGCTTGGGCAGACGCCCGTGGCAAAGGCCAGGGCAAGCCGAAGGGCAGAGGCAAGTCCGATGCCAAGGGCAAGCCCAAGGGGAGGGGCAGGTACGCCTGGGGCGCTTACGCCGCGGGCATTATTGCCGCGCTCCAACCCCGCCCAAGCACAAGCTGGGTCCCAGCCTTCCCGTGCGGGTCGGCCCGGCCGCCGCCAAGTGTTCCGCTTCCGCCGCGGACCCCCTTTTTCCTGGGTCGCGGGCTCCTCAATCGGTTGATGCACGCCCTCAACGGGAACATCAACGGCTGGTGGGGCCTGGCGGCTGCAGCGTCGGCGCCGATTGCCTTGCAGTTGCACCGCGGGGTTGTGCATGTTGTCGAGGACTCCATGCACGCGGTTGCAACGATTTCGGCCGACGTTGTCGAGGAAATCGGTCATGGGGCCAGGCGGACCGTGTGGGTCGCCGGAACAGCCATCACTCTGGTAGTAGTGATCTTGTGCGGCGCTGTTCTGTGGTACGTGAGTCGTGCCGTTGCCAATCGCATTGCGCATATGCGACATGGCAACACCGCGGCCCCTGAGGCGCGGCTGTCTCAACTCCTTGGCTCTGAAGCGACGTTTGAGGTCGCGAGCACTAAGAAAGGGGTGACCCATAAAGTTTGGGTGCACCTCAAGGAGGAGACAGCTGCCTGTGGCTGTCGTGCTTACCTGGCAGAGGGACGTTGCGGGCATTGCGATGCCGCAATGGACACCGCTCGTTCCCTAGGGTTTTTGCACGCGGCCCAGCGAGGCGCGGGTCCTGCGCTCACAGACTCCATTCGGAGTACCGCCTCCGAAGCCCTGGCTAAGGGTAAGGTTGTGTTGGGTTTGGGGAACAGTGAAGGATGTTTCTCCCAACTTGCGGCCAAGAGCCGCGGGCTCTCCTGCTTTCAGGGGCTCGCGGGTCGTGACCTGGCCGCGGCCCCAGCAGATGGAGCGAGCGCAGCCCACGCACATTCCGGCTTCGTGCAACGGGCCGCCACTGCCACTGTGGCGCGCACACCCAGCCGAAGGAACAAGGGCCCAGCCCCCGCTAGGAGTTCTCCAGTCAAAGAAGCGGAATTCCTTGCGGGCGGGCCATACGTTCAGGCCGCCCAAACGCTGCTTGGGTCTGGAGCAGCGGAGGATGTGATCTACATCCGGGCGTACAGCTTAGATTGCCCATCCTGCATCGAGGCAATCGAAGCGTCGCTTGGCAAGGGCGCAAGCGTTCGGATTGTCGCCGACATGGGACAATGCCACCGCACCAAACTTCAGTGGCAAGCGTTGAAACGCTTGGCGGCTGCAGGTGCCGAGGTGAAGGTGGGTTGTGGCACATCCGTGCGCGACGCCTATGCTCGCGACGGCCGCGGGGCTAAGGTAGGCACCGGGATTCAAGGGCTGCACCATGCCAAGGCCCTTTGCCTACTGCGGCCTGATGGCGCGGTGGTGCTGATTGGGAGCCTCAATTTTACCACAAGCAGCAAAGCCAATGCGGAGGCAGGGCTTAGGCTTGAGGTCCCCAAGACGCACCCGGTCGCGCAGTCCTACATTGAGGATTTCCAGAGGGTGTCGGCTGAGGCATTCTCCCTCGATGAGGCGGTCGCAAGGCGCCCTCAGTTGGAGCGAGCCAGTAGCTCCAACGTTGCTGGCAACGCCACTCGTGCCCCCAACACTGCTCCACAGGGTATCGAGTAGGCTGCGGCCAGTCGGCGCGGCGTGGTATGCATCCACGCATTATCAGAGCAGGCGTTGCAGCACGGCACGTTGCTTCGCCAACCTTTTGCATTTTCTTTTGCTTGACTGCGGGTGAAAAGCCGCGGCAGGTTGGAAACCTGCCCATTTTGCATTCCCCGCACCTTTCTCCTCCGCCCTGCCTGTGGCCCCTCGTGCTGAGGGTGCTCTTTTGCAGGTGCTGCGGACCGTGTCCTGGTCGCGGCAATGCGCTCGCCGAAGCGCGTGTGAGTTGCATTGCCTGCGGCACAAGCCATGTGCGCGGCTCTCGCTGAGTCTGGTAGCCCGTAGGGTAGTTCCGGATAGGTGAGTAGCCGTAGCCGTAGCTTAGGACCGGTAGTGTACAGTGTACCATTTGTACCATAGTCTGCGTACTGGCAGCTAGAGACCAGCTCGAGGATTCAAGAGCCTCGCCCACCAGCAAAAGGGTGAGGACCTCCTGGGAAAGGGTGGTTAAGGGTTGCTGAGGGTTGCCGTCGTCGTGCGTTCGTGTGGTGGTGCGGGCTAGCGTCCCTGCCGCATGCCAATGCTCATGATGTGCGGACCACCGCGGTCGCACGCGACACCCTCTCCCTTCCCTTTCTGTGTTCAGCGCGAGTGCCTGCTGCACTCCGAGCTCGAGATGAGCTGGAAGCCTCGGCTGAGGGGCGAATGTGAGCAGGTCTAAGCACGCACGTTGCATGTGCAGAGCTGCCAGAACCAGTACTGTAGTTTTCTTTGCATGTGTAGTTTTGCAATTCGTAACAATGCCAATGTTTTGGCTCAAGTACCGAGCTTGTGCCTTTGAGCACGGTAGAGTCGTACAGTAGCTCTTAGGTTGCTGTGCGGTCCGACCGGACGCACTCAGGCGTAGCTGCACAAGTGCTTGAACTCGCGAAGTCGTAAAACAGCGTGACCGGGCTGTGATTGCATTGGCTTAGTGCAAGTCCAGTGCTGGTCGACTTCACATACTACTACTACTACTACTACTACTGCTACTACTACTACTACTACTACTACTACTGCTACTACTACTACTACTACTACTACTACTACGACTACGACTACGACCACGACCACGACCACGACTACTACTACTACTACTGCTACTACTACTACTACTACTACTACTACTACGACTACTACTACTACTGCTACTACTACTACTACTACTACTACTACTACTACTACTACTACTACTACTACTACTACTACTACTACTACTACTACTATACTACTACTTACTACGATTTTTTACGACTCGACCACACCACAACACGACCACGCTACTACTACTACTACTACTACTACTACGACTACTACTACTGACTACTACTACGTACTACTACTACTACTACTACTACTACTATACTACTACTACTTACTACTACTACTACTACTACTACTATACTACGATACTACTACTACTACTAGACTACGACTACGACTACTACTACTACTACTACTACGACTACTACTACTACTACTACTACTACTACTACTACTACTACTACTACTACTACTACTACTACTACTACTACTACTACTACTACTACTACTATTTCATTCCAATCGCATCTTGTCTTGTGGGTCGCAAACTGTCTCTCAGTCTCGCGCTATGCTGCAGTGCTATGCACCGGCTCCAGAGGAGCAGAGAAAGTACATACCCAGATGGCTAACCAGAGCTGGCAGTACGCACAACAAAGACCTACCTATCGACCACTAGCAGCAAGATTCAAATGACCAGTCAGGATTGAAAGAAGTGAGGATCGGAAATAGCCTCCTAGTGTGAAATTCAAACACCAGAGAGGCCAACATAGGCCACCAAATTCACATCACTATGAAGTGACGTCGGCTGTCAACCATTGCTGTAGCTGGTTCATCTGCTGACTGCGCTTCTGCCTCGCACCCCGAAGCCGAGCTCCGATGAGCTGCAGGGCTGCACACTCCACCCAGGATCTCAGGTTCTGATGGACCCGGGCTGCACCAGGACGCAGCGACACGTCTATCAAAAAGGGTAGCACTTCCCCCAGGCGCTCCTCGTTCGGCGGCTTTGTCGCCTGAAAACGTGTGACATGTTCGGGAACAAGAATTGCCTGTTGCGTCTGCTTGACCTGCTGAATGAAGGTCTCCATTTTCAGCGGGGTCGGAGCGGGGCAGATCTCCAGGGTTTTCTCGGCGGGGTTCAGATCTTCTCTGGATTGGTCAAGAGCGCCTCTGCCCTGGCACCCAGCTCTTGCAACAAGGCCACGAACAGGGTGGTGCGGAGGCTCATTTTCAACTGAGCAGGATCCTTCAACTTGAGATCTCGCCATTTGGACTTTGACCATTGTCAAAGCCAGCGACTCCTCGCCTGGGACCTTCAGCGCCAAAAAATAGCCTGTGTCTGTTTCCAGACGACCAAGACTGTCGCCCTGTCGCAGAACGAGAGCCACCAATAGCTTTATCAGTGGGAGCAGGTCGTTGGAAGTAGTCATCGATGAAGCACCCTTTCCGTCTCCCTTGACCCACTTGTGCTTGCGCCTCGCGGGGGAGCCCGAGTCCAGCTGACGCTTGCCGAGCTGTTGACTGCTCTCTGCTAAGGCCTGCATGCTCGGCAGGAGTCCGCCTAGCACTGCCATCATCTCTTGGTCGACCGCCGCCGCCTGCTGTCCGGCTCCTGCCCAAGAGATATGACAAAGGATCAAGAAGCTCTGAAAAACATATGTGCAATTGCCTGCATGTTGGCGGGCATCAGAGGTTCTGGCCCCGCAATAGCGACAAGGCGATACTGCTATTTTACGAAGCTGCTTGACTTCAGCCTCGTACTGCGCTGAATAGCGAGCCCAAATGCTGGCGTGAGATTTCTTGTAATGTTGCCTGATTGCCCTGCCGTCAACCACCCACTGCGTGCAAATCCCACAGGTGTGATGAAGGTCGCATTGCGATGCAAACTGAGCAAGAAACTTTCGCCAGCCGTGCGCACGCAAGTACTCCATCTTCTCTGCCTGGGCAACGAGCGGCGTAACGCCATTGGTATCAGATTGCGAGTTTGAAAGCGACTTCCACATCGAGGCCCCTACCCTCAGCGTTTCATCTGCACCAACAATCGTAGCGCATGATATCTCAGAACCATGTTGACTTGTGCGTCTAAGACCTGGACAACTGTTCTGTTCAATGCGCCTGCGAAGTGAACTCCAAGTGGTGTAGAGGGCTTTGCAGAACCTGCACTGCGGAACACCGTTGATTGAATAGGCATCCCTGGTCAAGTACTCAGCCCGGACTGGCGCCTTGACGCCATGAACTTTTCCTTCATGTAGCTTGAGTTTGTGGAAGTCGGCGTATTGTATTCCACACTCCTGACACTGAAACGTGACTTGAGTTTCGAGGCAAAAATCGAGCTGCAGCAGAGGCCCGCAACGCACGCGACCGGCTCGATGTTCTGCAAAGAAGCCACAATTTGTTGGTAATGCTGAAGCAGTGCATCCCTCCCAAAGCAAAGTGGATGATGCGATGCAAGCAAACGAGCGACATGCCCCTGACCGCGAAGTAGAATAGCTTCTTGAACTGTGTACTCCGAGATGGATTGTAGAAATTCGGAATCAGATGTTCTATTCACATGTCTAGGTTTGCGATAGATTGCACGCAAGTGCCGCAGTTTCTGAACATGTACCAGATGCAGACTCGCTTTGGTCATCCCTACAGCTTCCAGCCCGTAATTCTGACTGGTTTCGACGCAAACCTTCCAAAGCCGGTGTCGTTGACGGATGGAAATGCCACCACGCCCCTGCAAGACTCGCCGTAGTTTGGAGCGGTGCCCGGCCGCCTGCTGAATCCGAAAAACGCGCCGTCTGTTCTTCAAAAGAGCCATAGGAAAGTATAACGCCAAGATACTTGTAGGATGTTACTATAGGCAGGTGCCACTTCCGAAATTCATTGTAGCAGAACTGTCGCTGGCCAGCAGAGTTTTTACTGATATGCTTGTGAAGCCAGGTCTGAGCTTGTATCCCTTTGACAGAAATGACCAAGACTGATTTCTCCCTGTTAATAGTGAGACCCATCTCGAAAAGCACATTCAACACCTCCGCCAGCTCCTCACGCATCTGCCGCAGATCCCGAACAGCCAACATCATCCATCGGAAATGCAGATCATCAGCATAGGCCGTGGCATGCTCTTGTGACCAGGTAAGACCATTAGAACCGGATGAGCAACGGAGATCAATTTGAAACATAACGTAGGCCATATATATGGTCCAGAGGCTGGGAGCCAGTACACATCCTTGTTTAACTCCTTGATTGCGCCGGATTGTGTGCTGTGCTTCAGCATGCGAACCATGCCTATAGGTACCCGTGTTGTGCCATTCCAAAATGAGAGCAATAAGATCAACATCAACTCCAGCCCACACGAGCATGTCATACATGACACGATGCGGCATACTGTCAAAGGCCCGTGTGCAGTCAACGCTAAGTTGGATGCCCCCCGCACACGCCATCCGAATAGCGCCACTTTTCCGATCATGAATGGTCATACGCTGTGCACTGACAAGGGCTCTCACCTCACGACAGTGCGCTGCAACCCTAGAAATAGCATCCGCTGCATTCCGATATTTGGTGTAGGCGTACTGTGGACAACCAAGAACCAGCGTGTCAAGCGTCTGCTGCAAGCGCCATGTCAGAATCAGCGTATAAGCTTTCGCCGGTGCATCTTGCAGCGCTATGGGCCGCAAGTTTTGTGGCTTGGTGGCAGGTTTTCCAGGCTTGCTGAGGAAAGTGAGCCAAGCTTCGTTAATCCCAGACTCAAGCTGACAGACATTGTCCCGATAGCAACGATTGAGATATTCACACAGGGGTCGCGCCGCAACAGGCGCAGCAAAACGCCAAGCGCACGCAGGAGCAGCGTGCGGCGCGGTGGCTTTCCTGAGCGCAAGGTGTCCACTTGGGGAATCGAGAAGTGAGCATGTCCCTTGTCAACTTGTGGTAAGGACGGAAGACCATCACCTTCAAAAACAGGCCTCCAAAAATCATCGATGCACTGCGCTTCGCGGGTAGATGTTTGCAAAGCTCCATCTTTATCACGAATCTGGATTCGGGTGTATGACTGTTTCGGCGCGAAACGCCGTATAATGGAGTAGAACCCGTAGGAGTTGTTGGCCTGAAGAGCCTCCTCCGCTTCAGACAGGTGCTTATCCCAATACACACGTCTCTCTGCGCGACATCTTTTGCGTAGCGCTTTCCTCGCCGACTCAAATCTGTGAACCAGAAGCCAGGCACGAAAAATGGTGCTCATCGTCTTGTGGATGGGCCTGTAACCAAGCATTGCTGCTCGCGCCTTCCAAACATCTTTCAACGCCAGCGTAGTGTCTGCCGACTTCCATACACCTGCCGACTCACGTTCCTGAGCGGGATACAGTTTCAAGGCAAGGTTGCGCAACACACCATCGATACGCGTCGGTGTGAGGAAATCACTTTGTTGGTTGAGCTCATCCGCCACCAGATCACAAAAATGCGCTTGTTTTTCTGGAGAGGAATACAGCACTTGCGCCATCTGCTTGTAATCCACACGGTTTTGGTCAGGCTGTGGAGATTTGGCTCCGGAGACAACCAATTTCTGAGTGAGGATAGCATAGACTGGTACATGTCTGGCTCCCCTGCGCCACTGAAACAGGTGCAAGGTGCACTTGAGGCCGCGGCCTGGCCTTTTTGGCATCTCCACCAGAATCTCTGAGACGTGTGGCCAGGAAATCGATTTGTGTGGCAACCTTATCTGACGGAAAGGTGGCTGCCGATGCCTTGGATTGCCAAGTGTTTAGCAGACACAAGTCATGCTGCTCCACAACCTGCATGAATTCAGGCAGATCTGCAGGGGCCGAAGCACTGGGGAGGATACCACGACCTGTACGCATGGATCTGAAATCTGCTGGGGTGTTAAAGTCACCGGCCACCAGTAGTTGATGCCTTCTAGGAATGACATCCAAGCACCTGTGAATTTCGTTCCAAACTTGCTGTCTGCGAGTATATGTGTCAGCGGCATCTGAGTTGCGAACCTGTTGATACACTGCAACCACTGTAATGGGAACACGGCGTTTGGGCTGACCTGGTCTGGCGGGAAGCCGAACTTCTAATAGTCGCCCCGGGATATGTTCAGTGTACCGAAGTTCTGCGCTACTCCCAAGAGATTTGTTAATCAATATTGCCACTAACCCATTGTTCGCCCGTGGTTGTTTAGAACCAGATCCGGAAAGAATCCAATGCCATCTGTCAGAGTGAATCTCGGCGCTGGCCCGCCATGTCTCCTGCAAAACCACGACGTGTACTTGGGCGAGGATAGAAGGCGAGTGAAGCCACTTAGAAATCAATCCCGAGTCCACCGACGTTTAAAGAAAGGAAGCCAATCTCATTGCTACAGAGCGAAAACTCAGCAGGCGGTGTATCCTTGGGCGGCCAAGCCTGCAAAGAACGAACTTGTGCATTAGATCGACCACTACGAACCATCGAACGCCCAGACTGTGATACATATGGATCTCCAGGCCGACCCAGATCAGAAACGGTGTACTGTCTGCCCCGATATGTAGTGCTGCCATGTCTTTCAATCCTGTGTCTGGCCCTCCGAAGGGACCGCGTGACCACAAGACCAACCTTTGGTAAGCATTGTCGGCTAGCTTTGCTCACAAGATAATCCGTGTTCAATGAGAGCTCGTGAGCTTCGGGTGCCATAGCCGAATGGGCACCCAGCCTCGCTTCTGTTCCCGTCGCATTGACTGTCTTAAAAAGCAGACACCACCACCAAAGTACATATAGTAGACGAGAACCTCCGGACTTGGGACCGGAGCGGCTGTTGTTATGGGAGGACACATTGTAGTCGCGCCGCGGTATGGCGCATGCAGATGCGAAAAACCATTGCAGGAAAGGAATGCCACAGTTAAGGCTCTGACCGTCGGACTGCTTCCGGCTGCCCATTCCACGTCGAGGATCAAGAAAAAGGGGCGCGAAGCTCAGAACCCAATACAAATAGAGTCCAAATAGCACGCAACACAGCAGCCCACTGTACTCAGCAAGGCTTGGAGAGCTCAACAAGATTTGCGTTTGCTGAAATTTGTAAGCACCCTGCAACCATCTACTCACCTCATCAAACATGTTGTAAGTTCCTAAAGAACCCAAGAGCACCCATCGACTGCCAGTATAAGCGCCAGGACGTTTGCGCTTCCAGAGCCCAAGGCAGCGGCCATCGATTCTCTCGCCAGTCCCTCTGGGCATTGCACATAAAGGAGTCCAAATATTCATTATCTCAAGCCCCCACTCCTCCATGCGTAGACTGATCTCAATACGATGGTCCACGGCGCCCATGTGGCTCCAAAATGCCAACAAAAGAAGAGCGCTCGCAAGCCGCACATTCATATTTTCAAGAAAGTTCTCCATGCCATGCGCAAATCCGCAAACTGCTGAATGTTGAAAAGTCGCAAGAGCAGCACACAAAACAATGCCGACCGCTGCAACGTGAGGGGCCAGGCGCCCGGCCCTCCGAAGAGGATGACCAGAAAATTGAACTTCGCAATGGTGGGACAGGTCACTCTCTGGCTGACAGCGGGAGCAGAGTCAACAAAGAAAAAAGAGCTGCCGAACGAGGCAATCTCCGGCGCTCTATGGCGCACTTCCCTCCCAAAAAATTGACAAGGGCGGTTGGAGCCGAGAAGCTTTATACAAGCATCTCTTTGAAACCCATGAACGCTAAACCCTAAAAACCCAAACCCTAAAAACCCCGGGAAAAAAACTCAGCCCTAAAATCCCTAAACCCTAGAAACCGCTGCTTCTGCTATTACTGGCATTTCATTCATTCCAATCGCAGCCGGTCACTCAGCTTGGCGTCAGGTAAATGGCAGTGCATTGCACCGGTGCTTCGTGAGCACTAGAACCATAGTGTAATGGCCTGACGGCATGCTCTCTTAAAAGATCTCTTGACATATCTATTCCAGTCGTGAGTAGGATCCTGCTCCCCATATATGACCTGTATCCCGCTTGGCTTCGGCACATGGTAAGAGCTAAGATGTGCATGTGGGTTGCCTTCCCCAGCTCCAGCGGAGAGAGCTGGAACCCTCACACTGTGGGTGAACTGTCCTTGAATCAGCATAATCAGGACAGCGAGACAGCTCCCCACCCCGGACTTGGGACCGGGCCGGCTGCTTGGGGTGAAGTGATCGCTCGCAATGGGGCGGTGTGACAAACCGCTCCCAGCAGGAGGGGGCAGTCGTCTGCACACCCTGGTCCTTTGCACATGGTTGAACAGCATATTAATGGCATTAAACCCTTGCTTATTCCCTGCGCTACGCCAAACCACCTCAAATTCAGAATATAGTATAGACAGTGAAGACAGTGAATCCCATGGCCCATGCCCGAGCACACGGCCAATATTGCGGAGGATGCAAGTGGTGCACTGAGGTCCACGGCAGAGACCTTTGGCGCGTCTGCGCCTGCGCTTTTTGACTGAGCAGCCAATCCGGATTTTGCGTAGTCTATTAGGCAGGCGGCAGTCCCTCCAAAACCTTCTGAACGGGGGGGCGCCTCGGCTCCCCAGCGGCAAGCAGTCTGTCACCTGCATGGCAGCGGTACAGGTGTGCGAGTTCTGGAGGCATGCAGAGAGTTCAAACGGTGGGACACAGTGGCATGAGCACGCACAACCCTCATGTATTGCCCGTGGCGCTGTGCGTCGCGCGAGGAAGCGCGTGAAATCGCCAGCGCAACCTGTTGCGGGTGGGGTGGACCGCCATCGGCGGTCAACACCTCTAGGCTCCGCGTGATTTGAACACTATGGAAGAAAGCCGGGTCAATGGTGGCTTCCGTGAGGATGACATCATTCGCCGACCGGTAGAAGGTGATGCCAGAGACCGCTGCACTTTGCACGCTAATCCAGAGCACTAGATCGCAGTCGCTGCGCATGCCCGACACGACATCCGACCCTGGGAGCTGCTCAACCAGATGTACATGACGGCGGAAGGATTGTCCTTGCCTGCCTCCGGCCATCAGTCCGTAACGTACAATGCTTTGGTAGAAGTCGTAGTATGTCCCATGGGCAACGAATTCAGGAGTGTCGTCGACTGTGAGGCGAGTGAGGATCAGCTCGTTCTGGATGTGCTCAATGGAGTGGCCTTGTCGGGCACGCACTAGGTATGCTCCGTCGCAGTAAGAGACCTCGAACCTATTCTTCTGGTTGTAGTGGATTACGTCGATGATCTCAGCCTCAATGATCCATTGGTTCCAGATGCGTGGGGCCTGTAGCAGGTCTCCCATAGCAACGTAGCCGTCCGCCTGGATGTGCAGCCCAATCTGGGCGCCGCGTGTCGGAGGATCTGCGTGAGGGCTTTGGAGATCTCCCTGGCTCGCTCCCCCCATACACGATCTGGGGCGCCGTTTGCACGCATCCATTGCCTGGTCCCTGTCTCCTCTGTAGTCGATCTTGATGGCGGATGTGGCGGCTGTCGCACCTGATGGCCACCTATATGAGTTTGTGGTCCGTAGGCGCTTGAGAGGGACGAGGGGCCGCCGCGCACTGGGCGGGCTCCCACGGCGTGACCACCTGCACATCATCTGAGGAGCTCTCCGTCTCGTGGTCGATGGTGCTGGCTTCTTGTGGTTTGCTCACCGCTTTGAGTGGTAGCACTGCCATTGGGGTGTCCTCCACAGCACCGAGGGCCGTCTCCGCAGCTGTGCCAGATGATGGTGCGGCCTCCGTAGGATCAGCATGTAGGAGGTGACTCAAGCTTCCAGTACCTGCTTTGCTGGGGTCGTCCGTTCATGGGTCCGGAAGACATGGATGAATTCCGCCGGGTTGGAGTTCACCTTGATGAGCGCATCGTACGTGTCCGGGGTGCACGTGTCTGTCATCGCCGCAATCAGGGTCACAAGAAGCTGATATTGTTGGTACCACGATGGGCGTGGATGCTTCTTGGCATTGCACACCGTGAACGCCTCCATGAAGGAGCCGAAGTTGGATACGTCCCGGTAGACTGCGCGTAGTGGTGGACACAGGAGGGATCCTGTAAGCGCTAAGTTCCAAGTTCCCTACCCGCGGAAAGCTGGCTGTCGATGGATCACCATGGAAGTGGTGCTTGGTGAAGTCGCCTGACCTGTAAAAGGCATTGATGAGCGTGGGAAGTCCAGCGTGAGCGAGCTGCTCCAGCAAGTCGACAACCTTGCTCAGCCTTGCCATCTGATCCGCGCAAGGCTCCTCTGGAGGGGCCGCTTGGCTCCGCACGTTTGCCTCCTCACAAACTCATCGCTGACCTGTGTGCTGCGTGATCTCTTGCTGACCTGGGACGACGGTGATTTGCGCGGCTTGCGCGGTTGGCGTGCTGAGGAGGGCTCACGGGGAGCGTCCTCATGGGTGTCACTGCCTGATGTAGCGGGCCGGCGGCGTGAGTTGCGCCAGCTCTATCGGTCATCTGCAGCCGACATCATCATCCCATTCTTCTGGCCACTACCACCAATCCTCCTCATTCTGGCTCCGTTCCTCCAGGGGCCATCTCTGGTCTCCCTTGAGCCTCTGGATGCTCTCCCTGCCCGACTGGGGCCTCCTGAGGAGGAGGGCTGCCCATTCATCTCATCACGCTGCGACTGTTGGCCATCGTCAGTATGTACGCGGTAGTGCTGAGTGTGGTGGCGCCTTGGGGCCTCCTCTTCTGCATGCTCATCTCGTTGCCTCTGTCGAGCCTGGACGTCTTTCCAGAATTGCACATATGGGGCCCGCGTCCTCAGCTCCCCAGCAGTACGGCGACGCCGCCCATCAGCACGATAGCGAGATCGGGGCTGTTTCTCCCCTTCACGGTGGGGTGTCTCGGGCATCTTGCTTGCTGCGCGTGGAAAGTGCGATGAAAGGGGACATGTGGGTGCACTGTCACCCTGCTGCCGAAGCACTTGCAGCTGCGCACATCAGACTTGCGGAACATGCCAGGGTGTTGGAATTCGGCGCAAAAGCATGACAGCAGTCCTTCGGACGCAGATCTCCGTGGTAGAGTGGCGCCATCCCGATCGCACCTGAGAGGTCCGCTGGTTCGGCAGGGTGTATGGTTTGAGGGATAGCGCAGTTGAGGGTTTATGGGCACAGGCAGCGGTGCCGGCAGTGGAGCATGCTCAAACGCGTTGAACTGGCAACACGAAGCTTCACTAGGGGCCAGGCTGCACTGTTTAGTCCATGGCACGCAGATCCACCAGGAGCTGATTACATGTCTGGACATGAGATTGCGACTGCTGTCTGTCCCAACATCTGTCATGTATCTCTTGGGCTCTTTGCAGGGACAGTCGCGCCAGATCACTGCAGAGCGTCGGCACACGATTGCGTTTGGGCTTGGGCTTGCGATTGCCGACCAACACGGGCCAGGCTTCCTGCTGGGTGCACTGTATGTCAGGCTCTGAGCATGGATCGGTTGCGAGTCCGATCCTCGCAGGGCACTTGTTAAGGCCATGAACCTTAGCGTGGGGCCGTGCGGCACGGGTAGGGGATCAAAAAAAATTTATTTGGGATCAAAAAGTAATTTATTTCTAGGCGGATCAAAAAAAAACTTATTTGGGATCAAAAAATAATTTTTTGAAGGCTTCGAAGGCTTCTTGCAAGCGAAGCGGAGGCCGTAAACGCTCAGAAATGCAGCAGTTCGGGCCGTTCGCAAGCTCTAAATACCGAAAAAACACAGCATTTATGCAAGAACTACTGAAAATAGCAGCATTTCTGAGTTCCCAGAGAGGCTGCAGATATTGTATATAGCAGCAGTTCTGCGCTTTCAGAAGCTGGAGAATGCTGTGCACTGCAGCACTCTTTGAGTTTCCAGAAGCTGCGAATATTGAAAATAGCAGCATTTCTGCGATTTCAGAGGCTGGAAATACTGTAAATAGCAGCATTTCTGCGTTTGCAGAGGCTGCAAATCAATGCTGGCCTCTTGGCATTAGAAGTTTCCAAAAAATGCGTATGCTCTGAAGCATGTATATTATGGCATAGTATTGTATATTCTTGTATAGTATTGTATGACATTGTATATTCTTGCATATTATTGTATATTGTTGTACATATTGTTGAGTATGATTGTATTGCCGTGTATTTTCTTGTATTTTTGTATAATATTTTATATTGTTGCACATTATTGAATGTTATTGTATATTTTCATAATTATTGTGTAGCATTCTTTTTATATTGTTGAAGTTTCTTTGTATATTATTGCAGATTATGCTATATTATAGTATATTATTGTATGTTATTGTATATTATTGCTATTATTGCATATTATTGTATACTATGTTACATTATTGCATGTCATTGAGTTTTTGTCTTTTTCTATATTACTGTATGTTTTTTGTATACTTTCGAAAATTATTGTATATATTGTTGTATATGATTGTACATTTTTGCATTTTTTGTATATTGTTGTCGATTCTTGAATACTATTGTCAATTACTGAAAATTGTTGTAAGTTATTCTTGTTTTACGCGTATATTGCTGCATATTCTTGTATACTTGAAAATTGTTGTGTTTTTGTGTGTTGTTATATTAGGCAAAAAAGTGCTCGCATCATGGGATTGGAAGGATTCATGTGCTTTGAAGCAAGCTTGCCCGGACTAAGAAAACAGCGGGGGGGTTGGGGGGGGCGCAGCCCCCCCCATTTGCAAACACAACCCTCGCATCATTGGTTTGGAAAGGACATTCATATGCTTTGAAGCAAGCTTGCCCGGCTTTAAAAAACAGCGGGGGTTTGAGGGGGGGCAGACCCCCCTCCCCCATTTGCAAACACAATGCTCGCATCATGGGTTTGGAAGGGATTCATACGCGTTGAACATGCTTGCCCGGCGCCAAACAAACAATAAATATGTATTGTGTATTATGAATTGTATATAAAATAGCATTAAATATATACATAGACGCTTTCTTATTACGATTTCTTATAGTTTTTATGATACGAAGGTATACTATAAGAGATTGTGTTCTATGATACTCTATTCCACTATATAATATTATTGTACTTTGTTTTAATATATACACACACATATATATATATATATTATAACATATGATGTTATGTTATGTTTACCTACAGAACTGAATATACCATAATGACCAAAAAATAATAATAAAAAAGGAAACTCTGACCACGGGACCGTCAAACCACGGGACCAGAGGACCGGAGGACCAGAGGACCTCAGGAGCACAGCACCAAGCAACCAGAAGGCCAGAATACGCACGCTTTGAAGCAAGCTGGCACGACTTCTTCCTTGCTTTCTTTCTTTTGTTATTTCGGGCCTTTTTCTTTCTTTCTTGATTCCTTCCTTCCTTTTCCTTTCCTTTCCTTTCCTTTCCTTTCCTTTCCTTTCCTTTCCTTTCCTTTCCTTTCCTTTCCTTTCCTTTCCTTTCCTTGCCTTGCCTTTCCTTTCCTTGCCTTGCCTTTCCTTTCCTTTCCTTTCCTTATTCCTTTCCTTTCCTTCCTTCCCTGCTTCCTTGCTTCCTTGCTTCCTTGCTTGCTTGCTTCCTTGCTTCCTTGCTTCCTTGCTTCCTTGCTTCCTTGCTTCCTTCCTTCCTTCCTTCCTTCCTTCCTGTCCTTCCGTCCTTCCGCCCTTCCTTCCCTCCCTCCCTCCTTTTCTCCCTCCCTCCATCCCATTTTCTCTTTCTCCGTCGGAAGAACACCATAAATTATTTCTTGATCCTAAATAAATTCTTTCTTGATCCTAAATAAATTTTTTCTTGATCCTAAATAAATTGTTCAGACAACGCCCACTGCAAGACCTAACCCTAGTTGGGGAGAGAGCGGGTAGTGCGAGCCCTCTAGATCCCAAAGACCCTACGGGAGGGGGACTAGGGGCAACAACGTCCTACCCTGCACACGCCGGCCTTTTTCACGGGTGCTGCTCTGGGCGAGTTTGGCAATCAGGCCGGGGGGCCCCTCAGGCGAGAGGCACCGGTCCTGATATGCGGCATACCCCCGCGGGCTACTCCTCTTTGGGAGGCAGTAGTGCGGCTGTGTGTTGGGCTACTCCACTTTGGGAGGCAAAAGGCTCTTGGCTATTGTGGAGAGTGCATAGAGTTTGGCGTTGAGTGAGCAGGGCAAGGGCGGGCGGGCGAAAAAATGCTCACACACTATGCACGGCCCCAACTCGGGTTAGGTCGGCCAGCTGAGCCAGGAGTCAGCTGGGCATGGGCATACATGGGTGGTCATGATTCTTTTTCTTTCCAACGCAGCGAGGGGTGAACTTCGCTATGCGGGCTACATCATGTACAAGAATGTACACGGCTCTTCTAGAGAGCAGGATGGGCAACTGCCACTGCACCCGACCCGAGGGTCCCATAAGCAGTGCAGCTACCGAGGCCAATCAACATCTATGTGTGACTCGAGTGGTGAGAAGTCAAAAAGAGAGAGTGCACTCTACCCAATCTGTACAAGCACAGGGGTGGAGACCACGGACCTGGCGTAAGCGCGGGTAAGAAAGCCGCGGGGGTGCGAACCCCTAGGGTTTTTTGCATCAAAAACGGCTAGGGGTTCAGGCAAAATCCTGGATTTTAAGCACTACGATACGTTTGAAAAAAAAGATTGCTCTGGGACCTGGTTTGGCAACCATTTTTTGGAACAAGTTCTGTGCGACATTCTGGAAACCATGAATTTAAGCTTTCGAGAAAATGTCACTGCTGGCCGCTGTCAAAACTGGATTTGGAAGGTGTTGACCTCACTCGCAAATCGTTTCGATTTTAAGCTTCAGGTTCAAGGGCCTTTTGGTTGTACGGGAGGACCATCTGCGTTTTTTTTTTCGATGTAACACCCTGGGCTTTCGAGTTGCACTTCAAGGCACTGTTTGGGAATTACTGAAACCCACTCCCGCTCGCCCATTGCAAGCACAATCGCGCCAACAGCTGTTTTCGCAGAAGCTCGCGCACCCCGGGAGCTGTTTTGCTCATCGAAACACACTTTAAACTCGAATTGGCAAGCCTGGCAAGCCAAGTGGTATGCGTATGCCAATGCGCTAGACACTGAATGAGCATGGATATGCCAAAGGAACCGTGGCCAGTATGCCCTTGGAGCTGGCACTGGCCGGTTTTCCATTGGCATCCAAGCTTCGTTCAGATACTCGCTCACCAGCGGCCCAGCACGCCTTCTGGGGGGCTAGGGGGAACGAGGCAGACACAGAAGTCTGCTTTGGTCTTTCCCCTTGGTTTCACGATGTGCAAAGACTAGAAGTACCGAGCACCTTTTCTTGTCAACACATCCTCGTTCCTTTGTCTTTTCTCCGGCCTTGTAGTCTTGCAAACATCCTTCTTCTGCGATTCGCAAACAGTTGGCAAACAAACCTTCTTCTTCTCTGCATTCTGGGACAAATCGTTCTCGTTGGGAAACTTCCTCTTCGTGTTCTGGCCTTGCTGCAGCCATCGATTCGTGTAGTAGCAACCCAAGCAGAGCCTGCCCAGCTCCGATGCCTGAGAATTGTCCACAGACACGGTAGCCCAGCAATCCAAACAAATCATGTCGCTGTCGGCCATGGTCGCAAGGCTCCAGGCTCCAGCAACCAGTCGCTGGGACACGGGGACACTGGCAAGTGTTTTGGGGATGCGATTTCTGCGTTGGTCCAAAACAGCGACGGGTAGAACACATCAACACATGTACAACCTAGGACAGCTACGACAGCTGGAACAGGACAGACCGGGCTAGGACCTTCAACACGCAGGAAGCGCTCAGCTGCTAAGCTCGAAGACATGAATGTTATTTGCAAAGGCCTAGAACGGGTTGCTTCAATCATCGCAATCGCACGCAGATGCCTGGCGACATGGCCTTCGTCACTTATGCACTAGAGCCCTGGCCCAACGGCCCAACCCCCAAACCCTGCACTAAACAAGACACGCACGCAACATGTCCTTGTTTTTTCTCTTCTGGCACGACAACTCAGCCATAGATCTCAAGATTCGGAAATTCGAAAGGGGCACGCTGGATGTTGTGCAGGCTTTTCCCGCTGTTGCATTGCTTGTGCCATCTTTGAAGTGGACTACAAGCGAAGCACCACCCTGCAGAGCTCTCAGCCTGTCTTGGGGGCACTCGGCTTGAACTTCCCCCCTCCAGCAATGCATGTTTCACACACACAGACACATACACAAAGGCCTGGCAACAACATTCTTGGCGCGCCTGAAAAAACCATGTTTCTGGACACATTGTATCCCGAATCAGTAGTCTGGACCACGGTAACCGGGCCCGGGTAGCCACGGCCCACGGCCCACGGCAACCATGGACCATGACACACTTCAGACTTCAGAACTTCAGACGCTCTTCAGCCACGTGTGCAATCTGCCGGTTCGCTGTCCTGCCAGGTCAGGCCACTCCTTCACTCTGGCGTCAAGCAGCTGCACCGTGTACTTCAGTCCACGGCGGCATCCCTTCAGGATTCGAACGCCGTGCGTCTCTTGCTCACAGACTTGGATGTAGGCATGGCCTGCAGGGATTCCCACAACTTCGCCAGCGATTGCGCAGGTCAGCCAGCCTGATGTCTCGCACTCGTCGATCCAGGCTTCGGCCGTCATGCCCCTCAGCTTTTCGCAGAATGCGCCCAGACCACTCTCAAGCTCTGAGGGAAAGATGGCTCTTATTTCTGTTTGCTGTAAATTGCATTTGCTTTCAACTGGAGGTCAAATGTATCTTGTTTAGGGAAAATTCAATCTCACTTCATCTCTGGTGAAGTAAGTGAATCAAGAATCTATCTCAAAACCGGATGCAAAACACTAATCAATCAGACTCATTCACAATCACACCTTTTTCATGCCGGTGGCAGAAGATCTTGGGGAAAGTTCGAGTAGAACTCCCACCGCACCATACCTACGGCATGCGTGCTGCATCCAAATGCTTTGGATACGGGACATGACATCAGGAGATGATCATGCCTCTCACAACCCCGGGTGGGCTGGGTGGGAGACAAAAATTTTTCTGTGCACCTTACTCGAACCGAGGTGCTGCAGATATCACATGTTGTTTCACAAAACATGACATCTGCGTGCTGCACTTGCCATTTTAAATGTCATGATGCGTGCATGTGTGTGCATCACAAATGGACACGTCCCGTTTTAAAACAAAACACCGCAAATGCAACCAGAAATTTTTCCCAAGAAAAATTTCGTGATACAGCCACAGAAATAATGCCTTGTCCATCGCGATGGAAGGCCGTCTTATTTCTGTTTGCTGTAAATTGCATTTGCTTTCAACTGGAGGTCAAATGTTTCTTGTTTAGGGAAAATTCAATCTCACTTCATCTCTGGTGAAGTAAGTGAATCAAGAATCTATCTCAAAACCGGATGCAAAACACTAATCAATCAGACTCATTCACAATCACACCTTTTTCACGCCGGTGGCAGAAGATCTTGGGGAAAGTTCGAGTAGAACTCCCAGCGCACCATACCTACGGCATGCGTGCTGCATCCAAATGCTTTGGATACGGGACATGACATCAGGAGATGATCATGCCTCTCACAACCCCCAAGACTCAAAGGCGTGATCAACGAGTGTATCAAGATCGATCGTGAATTCTTTGCCCAGCTCCGGATCTTTAGAGCCGCGTGAGGGGGCATCTGCCACGTTTGAGCAGGTGTTCACGCGTTCAAACCAGATGTTAAGCCCAAGCTCGTCACACAGCACATGAACATGCTGAGCAATAGCTTCTCCATACTTGTTGCTTGAAATTCCGGCAACCATACAGGCCAGGGCACCCTCGTTGTCAGTAAACACAACGAGGTTGGTACTGCGAATGAGCGGAGCCCACAACCTGAGTCCGACAAGGATGGCTAAGCATTCGTACTCGAAAATGGGGTTGCCGCTCTCAGGATTCATGCGACGTCTCACATGCTCAGACGCGCGGTCACTGAAAAAGCCCATCTTCGAACCCACTTCATTAACAAGAACACCACCCAAGCCTACGTTATCACCCTCACAAGAGGCATCGACATAAAGATGCATGGTAGTCAAGATGTTGGCGCAGATCACCCTGGGCGGTGAGAAGTTGACTCGATCGCGCAACCTTAGTAGGGCTACCCTGGTGCACTCATCCAGGTGTCCTCCCCCTCGTTGCACAAACCGCGACAGTTGTTTGTAGGCTGTTCCAGCAACCTTTCCAGCTATCTGGTTTTCAGCAAACTGGAGTCGGCCCCTGATGCGCTCGCCATCCTTTTGCGTGAGGTAACCAGACGAAAGGATGTCGGACAAGGCCTCGAAGATCTCGTCTCGCCTCGACTCCGTGTTACACAGAGTGATACGTCCGAGACGGGACTCAGACAAGTCGAACTTCAACCCCAACACTTTTGCACAGGAGTCGAACACAGATTCTTTGTCTTCGGCGACATCCCACCCCAACAAGCGGAATACTAGGCAAACACCAATGTCGAAGAGGCGGGCCAGAGGAGCCAGCTCCACACCCACAAAGTCGTCAAAATAAACGTTGATGTGGCACAAGAACAGCACTACAAGGACTTTCCATATCCCTAGTGACACCCGGCAAAATGCGTGCACACTGTGCCGTGATCCAAACGGAAGAACCTTTTGTCAGAAAATTCGGGGACATTTCCCTTTTGGGTCGTAGACGCACAAGAAACTGTCCTCTAGCGCCTCCAGGGATAGTGGAAGGTTTTTGTAGGCCTTGTGAAGGTCCCAGGACTTCAAGAGAAGTTGGTGCAACCTGCACTTTGCATCGGCCCTCAGTCGACGGGCCAAACCTGATGCTATGCAGTCGGCGGTGTGCACGGTGATTGTGTCGTACGATGAAGATGTGGCATTCAAACCACTTTCAAGGTAGTTATCGATGGGCCGTGTTTTATTATTCTGCACAACGCCAAAGCGCCTGGTCAACAAAGAGCTGGCCCCCAAGTCGCTCTCTTTCAGCGGCCCGTCCAGCCACCCCCGCTCCACCTCGTCCAAGGTGACTCGGTAAGTCTCAGCATCCACCACATCATCTCCTGAGCTCTTGGTGGAGTTTAGGATGCCCTTCCGCATTCGTTGTGCTGACCCTCGCAGGTCATCGACCGCCATGGTGGCAGCTGTACGCTTAGCGCGGAACTCAGGGCAGTAGGGGATCGGGCCTCCTAAAGCAAAACCCTTAGACATATCCGCAACCAACGACGGATCATTGTGGCCGGCAGCCTCAATCATCTCGCCGAAAAGAAGCAGCCTTTTCTTGCTCAAGGTTTTTGCACAGTGCTTGGGCAGTGTCTCCTTATACACACGTTCTTGCTCGTCGAGCTCTGCGGCTCGCCCCAGCCACTGACGTAAAGCTTCAGTCCTACTGGCACCAACAGTGTGCATGCCCTCCGACGCCAAGAAGTCAATCGTTTGTTGCAACTCAGGTGGAACTCCCGAGCTCATAAGACGCGGGTGCTTAGCCTCAAGCGCTTGCTCGATGAATTCATCGCACGTCCACGGTACTCCAACCCACGTCCTAAACCTATCGGGAACCCTACCTAATGGGGGGGAGCCTTCCTCGGGCCCTGCCGGTGAGGAGGCTTGGTGTCCTGGCTGTTCGGGTAAAGCAAACCCCACACACTGCAGCTCAGCCGTTTGGTCTGCAGTCAAGCGATCTGTGTGATTGGTGGTGTAGGCAACAAGTATGTCACGTGTCGCCCCATGCCTGGGCATTGCACAGTGCTTATGGTGGGGGTTAAACAGGATCCGGTTGGACTCGAACTTCAGCTCACAGCCCATCAAGTCAGGCACGTTCGGATCTGGGCAGGGCACGTCCCCAAGCTCATTGTGTATCCAAATTCCACCCTCGAAAGATGAAAGTTTTAAAACACAGTTAGGGAAACCTTGGGCATTGTTTTTGTCAACATGAACCCCTCCTTGAAGGTTTCGTCCAAGCATGATGGCTGAGAACGGATGCCCTGGTGCATGCTGTTTTACGAACTGACACAGCATAGTACTGACAGCCGGGTTGAGCCGCAGGTTAGTCCTAACCCCGGTAACCCCTCCCTGTGCATAGGCCCCTGTGGACCACGAAAACTCATCATCCAGGCCAGCACGTCTGGCCAAGCGATCCGACTTCAAGAGCTGGAACAGCTGAGTTACATCATCAGCCAAGATAGTTTTCTGTTGAAGGCACACAGAGGCGAACTGCTCGACGGGGCAGTTCGGGTTTCCCTGATTCCTACTGCTTGGCTGGGATGAAGGTCCAGAACGCGGCGTCTCTCCACCCCCAAGTGCAACACGACGCAATATACGAGAACCCATGGGCAGCTCTGGCAAAGGCGGGTCACACGAGGCTGAGGGCGGAACAGGCACGGCCACGGGCAGCTTGGCTGAAGCAGGCAAGAAGTCATGGTCAGATGTCACAACGACCACATCACGGAACTCAGCGACCATAGGAGCAACCTTCTTGCCACGGGGCTGGGAGCCGAGACTGACCTGGGCCGCTCTATGTTGCTGCCGAACCTCATCTGACAGGGAACGAGCAGGCAGCTGGAACCCACGCTGGCAGAGCTCCTCAAGCAGGAGTGCGGCGACCGCCTTGCACAACCCGAGCGGGTAAGCGGTCTCCTCACTAGTAGCATAGCGGAACTTAGACACACGACCCCAAGGCAGATGCTTATGGGAGGCGGACTCGCCAGGGCATGTCAGGTTGAGTTGGTCGAAGGCTGGCACGTTGTGCACCCACAACGTATGCTTGGGGCGGCTGCCCCGTAGCAACAATGGTCAAACACAGCTTCCCGCAAGGACAAACCGGAGGTGCCCTGACGCCACGCAGTGGTCTGCCACATGAAAGAATTCAGTGGATTCTCGCAGCTGACAAGCTTGCCGGCAAGAACCGCCCGTTTCAGGGCTGCAGCGGTCACGCCATAGAGGCGGTTGGCCGCAGCCACACGTTGAGCCAAACGGTCAGGAAGCCCGGGTAGGCCATCAGGAAAGGTATCATCCCGACACGGTTCGGGATCGTGATCGGTCTCTTGGATCAGGCGAGCACGGGAGCTCGTGCCACACGGTGGTGCAAAATGCACATAAAGACAAAAAGGGTTGTCGATCATATCATGCAAAAGCTGTACATCAAAATCACGAGTGAGATCAAGTTTGACCATGGGACAAGGGCAATGCCTGGGGATCCGATGATCGACGCCACAGGAATCTTGCAAGCCCACGGCACGAAGGGCCACAGTGAGACGAGCGCTGCCCGCAAACACTTCAAGAGCATGGAAAACAGTCAGCTGCTTGCTACCGCCAGGGTGAGCTGCACTTTCTGAAAGGGGAACATCAGGCCGGGCAGGCAACACCTCCACCGGCAACAAGCCAGCAGGCACAGCAGCCTCTTCCACAGGGGCCGCAGGCTGAGGGTGGGAACATGAAGTGATTGCGGGCTCCGCCAGTCAAGCGGGTTTCTTAGGGCACACATGTGCCCCATGCATACCTCCACACCGCATGCAAACGTGCAAGCCCTTGCTGCAAGTTTGTCCAGCTTTGGCGCCGGGACAGCCTGCGGCCATGTTAAAACCCCAACAGCCATGATGAGAGGCCTCGCAGCTCAGAAGGCAGGTTGGCGGGCTCAGTAGGGGTTTGCTTTTCCTTCCCTTTACCTTTGCCTTTGGGCTTCCGGGGTCTCTTGGCTGGGGGCCCCTCAGGGGGGTCAGGAACGCCCGGCGGGGCGGGCGCAGGATGCTTGCCCGAAGAGTCAGGAAGCGGCAAAAGGTGAAAGACTACGCGCGGGTCCTTCTGCAAATCAGCCCAGAGGCTATCCAACGGCAATTCACCGGTAGCCTTGCGACGCACCCCGGCTGGGGTTAACTCGGACAAACGGACCCAGGCAGCTCTATCAGCGTGAAGGAGTTGCTGAACAGTGGGGCTGCGGTATCCCGCCAGGACAGGCTGCTGTAGGTGGTTCATAAGAAAAGAGTTCCACTCTTGCACGCGAGCATACGTGCTAAGGCCAACAAGGTCCATGGCCAACGCGCGACGATGCAGGGCCTGGAACAGATCAAGGGCATGCGTCACGTCGCAATGCTGCTCTGCAGCGCGGTCCTTGATAAGGAGCACGGAAGAGGAAGAGCCCGGGGCCGCGACATCAAGTTCCTTGCGGGGCTTATCCATACGCAGTTCCGCCTGCCGGCAGGTAAACTTCGAAGGCTGAAGATACGAGACACAGTTGTCAGAAATCAGCTTCAGGCAAAGGTCATAGCTTGCATGCGAGCACTCGTTGACACCAGACAAGTCAACACCTGCAAGGCGGGCAGCTTGTTTCTGCAGGCGATCACGCCGTTCGGCTGGAGGCAATTCTTTTGGCTGCTCTTCTTTATTCTCAACTAGGCACTTGGTCTCATTGACGACCAAAGTTTGTGCTTCGAAGACTAACCTGCGTACCGCGGCGACGGTACCAAGAGAGGGCTCGGCACCTCCTGCACCCCCGGGGACAGCTACTGGAGCAACTAAGGCCTTGAGTTTCTCGTCACTGGGGGACTCCCCGGGATGACCAGGGGCAAACGCCAGTTTGGCCAGAGTGTCGACGCCCTGGTCAAGCAGCCGTTGCAATGCATCATCTGGCAACCCCACCTTAGCGGCACGCTCTTTCAAAACTGCAGTAGATTCAGTCAACAAGGCAGACATGGCGCACAGGATCTTAGGGTAAGCGAAAACTGTACCTAACAACACCTGCACAGAGGTGCTATGGCAAACTGTGTAGACTGTGGCCAAAGAAGCTGCAAAGGTCCTAAGCACCTGCCATTAGAGCTTCCGAAAACGAGGTCAGTAATTGCAAACACGATTTGCAAAACATGATGTCAAATCATCTCGTAGAATGCACCTTCTACAAACTCTGCAGCCGTGATCGAACCACGAGCTACAATCCTTGAAGACTGAGCGCAGCAGGTTGACACATCGTATTGTCGAGTTGCAGTTTGCTACAGAGAGCCAACTGAAGACAACAAGCATGTGAGCAGTGGCTGCTGAAACAGTCAAGCTTCATCCCTTCAGGAAAGACAGCAGCTGGGACTCCGTGGTACCCAGATATACTGCCGGTGCCACGACCGGCAGTAAGGATGTTGCCGCGAACATCCGCAAATGCTTCCACGAGCCGCACGCAAGCTTTTCACAGCGCCTTACCTCTCGAGGCGCCTGTCCAGGTGATGCAAAAGCGAGCCAGTGTCTCGGATGGGCTTAGCCATCGTACACTGCTTGCACTTCCAATGCTTGCTGTGCACTCTTCCAGAGAAGGGAACAAAACCTTTTGCCGGCCGACCGCAAAGCATCTTGCTGTCGGTTGTCGCACCTCGGGCCCTTGCGTGGATTGATTTGGTCTTAGGGTTCTGGAAGAGATCCAGGTCTACCCCTATGGTTGCACGCGGAGCCTGCACCTCGAAGCCTCGGAGGAAGCCATCATAATCAACCGGCTCGTCGGATGAGCCCGAGGATTCACTGTCGCTAGAAGACTCCAAGGAACCTGACTCACATACACGATCTGGGCTCACGCCACCGAAGACTGCATCTTCCTCGGCCTCCCTGGCAACCTCAGTCTCACCTTCCTGGAAACCGGGAGCTCGATCCAAACTTAACGCTGAAGCCCCCCCTTCAGAAGGTGCTGCCTCGTCGGGCGCCGTGTCATTTGCAGGGCCAGCAACACTGAAGGACGGTGCAAAGGCCGGCTGGAAAGGGGGGCGAGAAGCAAAACCACTCGGGAACTCATCAGGCGACTCAGCGTGCTCCCTGATCATGCCACTGCGGGTCAAGTCTGGAAGGAAGACCCCCACTCTGATCGATTTCAAGCATGCACACAAGTCTCTCAACGGTCCCGCCTGCACATCGCGACCATATGCTTCGGAAGTTTTGCCCCTAGCCCCCAGTGAGTGATGGCCAAGAACGAGGATGGTACGGTCCCCGTAATTTGCCTTTGTCACCCACGAAAGTGTTGTGGCTTTCAGGCCATGGCTCGTTAGGCCATCAAGGACTTCGCCCATCAGCGCCTTGAGGATGCCATTCAGCCACCTTGTGGTTTCAGCAGCATCCACCGCGTCCCCTGACCAAGTGTAATCGCTGGCAAAACGGGGCAACATCGGGCCTCTGAAACCTTTCTCAAAGTCAAACCCAACATCTTTGGCAGCCTGAACAAAAGCAAGCCCCCAAGGCTGGGAGGCGAGCCCCTGGATCGGAGCCACCAGGATGAGGACAGCACTGGGTCCACTGGTGATGCGACGGCTCTTGTGCTCGTACGTATGTGCTTCGATATACCCTTCTGCCCCGGTTATGTCCAGGTAAACCTTGAACAGATTACGCAAATCAGACACTCGGGCTCGAGCATACAGCTGAAACAACATAACTCCGAGCGCATATCGATCAAAACGGTCCAAACGGCCCCCGATCAAGGCCTCTTCAAGATGCTTCACCTCCTTCACAGTCAAGGTCCGTGATCGGTGGGCATCCCGGAGCCGGATGTTGGCAAATCTCATCGTCCCTTTGAACCATGGGTGTGAAGTCACATCATCACTCACCTGAAACCCCAACACAAAGCGACAAAAATTCAAGGAGCTTGCAAAATCCCGGATGGCACTCTTCTTGTTACCCGAAATAGCATCCTTGAGGTAACTCCGGATCTTCTCAATTGAGAAGGGGAAAGCATCGCACCCATTGTCCGACGCCCAATGCACGTATTTCCCGATGCAGCGGACTCTTTTCAGAAGAGTACTTGTTGCCTTGCCCTCGAACGTCTCAGACACAAGCTCGGCACCATCACACGCACTCCCCGCAAGCATCTGGCCCATTGAAGATGCACTGGTATCATGCAACAACACACACAACCATCGCCGCACAACTGCTTCCCTGTCCAATGACTGCTTGACCCCTGGTTCGAGACGAGCCTTGCGAAGGACCTGGTCAAACACAGGCGGTAAGGAACCTGATGCAGGCACAGAAAGTGGCACTCTCTTAGCGGCTTTGAGTTGATAAGCAGATACCGGCCACTGTGGTATATTAGGTCTTGGCATGGGCACACGTAGAGGCTGGGCGAATGGAACTGATGTTTGCACTTCAAAAACGCCCTTGAAAGGTGGCTTCTCCCAAGGCATCAATTCAACACTCCGGGCACCTGAAAAACCAGCTTCCTCGATTGCTCTGTCAAGGTCAAAATCAGCTGGTCTTTTGCGATTCGACATGTTGCGCAGTGTACCGTAGTGGAAAAGTATCTCAGGCAGCTGCACACCAGTATCGAAGTTGAGGCTGACACTCCCCCCCCCCCCCTGCACAGGAAGACTCAAGGCAGATCTGGTGGCCTAGTCCTCATGGAGGGACTGCCACTGAACGTGAGGGAAGGTTCTCTGCAACGCCACAACAAGAAATTGAAAACAGCTCTGGTTATGCAACACCCGCTCCGTCAAGGATTCAATGGCTGGAGCAGGACGCACAAGGCGGGGCTGCAGGCGGGCAGAAGCACGAACGTGGGCCTCTTGCAAAGGAGCGATCTGATCACGCAAGGCCCTAACTTCCGCACGCAAAGCCTCGACCTCAAGATGGTATGCACTCAAATCACCTGATGCCGAAGGGGCTCAACCTGGGCAACCTCACGCTGAAGCTCTTGAAGAACGCGATCCGCTGGGTCCATCCACCAGAGATCACTCTGGCTTGCACGCCCTCTAAGAGGGAAACTTGTTGAAAGGATCAGGCCTGTTGACAAGCGGAGCCGTTGCGCCTTCAAGCCCAGGTTAGAAGAGACAAAAATTTTTCTGTGCACCTTACTCGAACCGAGGTGCTGCAGATATCACATGTTGTTTCACAAAACATGACATCTGCATTCAAGAAAATGGGCACGTGCTGCACTTGCCATTTTAAATGTCATGATGCGTGCATGTGTGTGCATCACAAATGGACACGTCCCGTTTTAAAACAAAACACCGCAAATGCAACCAGAAATTTTTCCCAAGAAAAATTTCGTGATACAGCCACAGAAATAATGCCTTGTCCATCGCGATGGAAGGCCGTCTTCCCATGAAAAAAGCGCTGCCCTCCAAGACCATCTTTAACTCTGTCAGGCCGTAGTCGGTGCTGTAGAACAGCTTGCTCATTCCCTTTCCAAATGACCAGTAGCAAGGCTGGAACACTTCCTGCAGGTCCGCATCCGTGGTGATGTCCAGGCATTCGGCAGCTGCTGATGTCCCCAAGAGGCCTGTCCAAGCCCTGTCAATCTTGCCAGCCAAGGCTGGCTTTGCCACCAACGCCAAGGACACTTCGACCTTCTTCTTGTCCTTCTTCCACAGCTCCTGGACCCATTCCTTCTGCTGACCGTAATACGGCATGGCAAGCCACTCATCCCTTAAGGATTTGGTCTGAGCGGCCATGATCTTGAGGCAGGAGTTCGGATGCTTGCCACACAACCAGTCCATGATGTTGAAGCAGGGTGAGGACAAATTGAAAACCTCGCCCATGTCCTGTCCAGCAGCTTTTGCCCCCGTCACGGACTTCAGCAAGTCTGCCCCCATCTGGGTGTCGGTGCCACTTGGCGGGCCAGAGCTGATGGGCTGCTTGCTCCCAGCAGCAACAGCAGCCGCTTTGGCGCTCGCAGCCGCCTTCTTCCCGGCAAGCTTTCCATTTCTCTTCTTGAACTCACTCACCCACTTTCGAGTCTGCGCCATGAATGTCTTCAAGCAGGTGGCCCTCTCGGCCGTGGCCAAGTTCTTCACCTGCCTGCACACGTCCATGTAGAGCTGGTTCCAGTGCTGGGCGGCATTCTCCAATTCCTCCGGCGGGCTCTTGTCCTTCTCCGCTTGCCAGTGCCTGGGGTGACTGACTCTGACTGCAAAAAAAAAAGGCCGGACTCAAGCCTTAACATGTTTGACATGATATCTGGGTTTGTGGTATAGGGTCAGGGCCCAGTCAGGGCTAACAACACGCCTGACACGAAATCATAAGTCAAGTTTCGACTCTTTCTGCCGGATGAAGCACTCCATGTTCTCGGCCAGCTGCTTGAACTTCTCCTGCTTCTCAGCCAGCTCCGCTTTCCCGTTCGGACAGCCTTCCACACCAGCTTCTTTCACCTCGGCCACCAGCCCCGAGAAGCTGTTCTTCAGCTTCCTCAGATAGGAGTCCATGGACGTGACACCCCTCTCGATGGACTGCTCAAACTGCAGGTGCTCCAGGCTGGCCGAGTTGAGCTTCACAGGCTTCTGCTGCCTGGCCTTCCGCTGCTCCTCCGCCTTTTCCGCCTCCTCGTAGAGCCTCTGCTCTTGCTCCTTTCGCACCTTTGCTGCTTCTTCCATATCCTCCTGGACACGCAGAAGCTGACTTTCCTGGTTTGTGTTGTTCGAATGGTTCAGCAGCCTGTCAGCTTCCAGCAACGACTCGCCTCGCTCCAGGCGACTGCTCGACTGGTCCTGGAATCTGGACAGGTCCTCGCTGCGGTGCAAGTCCATTCTCTGCTTCATGCCGGCGCTCACGGAGTGCGACGACCCCAAGCGATCCTCCTGGCCGGCCCAATCCTTCAAGAGGGTCTCTCCGCGTTGAACCTTTGTGATGGCACCGGGCTTCTGCAACTCCAAGTCCCAAAGCCTCTTCACATCGGTATGCTTGCACCCTGTTACCAGGATCTCCCTGGCTGCCCAATCCTTGAACCTCCACCACTTGTCCACGTCTTCAGACTTCTGGTGTCGTGTCCTCTCCTCTGTCAATGTTCCCACAGCAGTCTCGAAGGTCCGGCGGCGAGGGCCCTCGGCTTGCCGCTCGGCGGCTTGCTTCTTGTACCATTCGGCCTTTTCCTCTGCCGTCATCTTCCCTAGGCTGGCCGAAACCTTCTCCGCATTCTCCCGGAGTTCTTTCTCCTTGGGTGTCTCATTGCTTTTGCCCTTTGTTTTTTTGCACCTCTGAAGCCACCGATCCGTGTTGGAGCAATCCAAGCACACTCGACGAAGTGCATTCCGGCCAGAGGCATGCGAAGTCTCCAATGACACTTCCACAAAGCACTTCAGGCACTTCATCTCGCTGTCAGCCATGGCGCGCAGGGCTCTGGGGGAGCGGGCTTTGGAGCTCTGGAAGATGCCTGCCTCGGTCCAACACAGCTGCGGGGTTGAGCGCATGCACTGGTCACACGCTGGGCCAATCCTGACGGACAGTACACGAATGCAAAGTTAATGTCTGAAGATGTCACAAGCACACACTGCGGACGTTTTTTGTTGCTTGCAAAACTTCTGCGCGGATCGCAACAGAAGATATTCGTCGCTAGTTTTCCAATTGGTCACCAATTGATTTCAACGCACGCACGCACAGACACACTCAGCGGACCCTGCGCTTCTTGGAAGCGGGTGGGGCGGCATCGGGCGCACGGCACAATTCGGCTATCTCGTGCTCTTGCAACGGGGCCTGCTGTTGAAAAGCCTGCAACTTCCCTGATGCCTTGGCCGCAATGGCCAGAGGCTCAAGCATGAGAGCCAAGGCCAACGTGTGGAAGGCGTTGCCGCACGCCTTCACACATCCTGCCTTGTGGCAGAACATTGAGGCGAGCTCGGACTGGTGTCCTTGCAGCTGCAACCGCTCTTCTGGAACAATGAATCTATGGAACTCCATGTCCTTCCAGGACAGGCCGGCGTCGGCCCGCGACAAAACGAAGAGCAAGGGGCCCTGCGTTCGCAAAGCTGGGCACATGTCACGGTGCAATCGTGCTTTGTACAATCTGTCGGGATCTCTGTCCAATTCGACCAGCACGAGGTCGCAGGGTTCTGTGTCCTTCTTCACCAACCCCAAGTACTTCTCAAGGTTGGCCTGCTGCTTCTTCGTGAGTGTCACGGGGTCTGTGTTCGGAAGCTGTGAAAACAAGAACGATCGCAGGGTGGGCTTCTGCACACGAGCTGGTAGCCATGGATCGGGGAATGTTTTGCGGATCTCGCCGCTGGGGCAACAGTCCCGACGAAGCCCCCTGATCCAGACTCTGGTCCGGGAATGGGGAAACATGCTCCTCAAGTCCTGCACAACGTAGTCCACGACGAACCATGGAATGGCGGCGCGAAAGTACTCCAGGGCTTCTCTCAAGAAAGCTGTCTTAGCTAACCTGCTAGAGTTTTCAATCAAGAAGAAAAGCAATGAACCTCGATGCGCATAATGGCAAATCATCGACTGCACTTGCAGAAAGACCACGCTTCGTTCGTCGTACTCCCCCAGCTGCTTCCCGCTGGGACTCCATGGTTGGCATGGGGGTCCCGACACAATGGCTTCAACATCTCCAGTGAGGCCTTCGATGCTCAGCACAGTGATGTCCCCCTTCTCATCCAGCTGGATCTGGCGCTGGTGGTCATTCTTGTTCTCCTGCAGCCTTCGCCTCCAAAAGCGACCAAGCGCAGGATCGATCTCGTAGACGTGGTTCCCGCACCACTCCATGCCGAGCTCGTCGCATATGCTTTTCCATGCGCTGATTCCGGCGCAAGGCTCGCACATGGTCAAGCACCTCTCCAGGTGCATCAGCGGCATCAGCAGCCAACGGATGACCTCCGCCAGCTGAGGCTGCATCATGCCTAGCTTGCCCAGGCTGCTACTTAGTCCTAGCCACTACTGGTTGCTGCTGGAACCCACAAAGCTTTTCGGGTGACTTGCATGCTGTCGTCGCTGTCGTTGCCCTGCTCTCATGAACAAACCCTCAGCAAGATTTGTTTCGCGACTTTTTCTTCTGTGCTTCTCCCTGCCTGGAACCTCAGCTTGAAGCAAGGCTCCAGCTGGAACTACAAACAAAAGCTCGCCGGGCCTGGTTCACAGGTCAACCATATGAAGCAGGCCTGCGCCCAAGTCCCACAGGACCCTGCTGACCGGCCTGGATTGCTCGGTGCGAGATTGACGCACCGAGCCATCCAGGCCGTCCAGCTGGAACCCGTGAGAACCGAGTGCGTGGCAACTGGCAACTCCGTGCTCGCCGGCCTGGATCGCCGGGTGCGACACTGTCGCGCCCGGCGATCCCGGCCGGTTCTGTGCGAATTCTGAAAGCACACGCTGACGTGCCTGCGGCGCCCGTTGCAGCACAACGGGCGCTGCAGGCACGCCAGCGTGGACTGCGGTTCTGTGCGAATTCTGAAAGCACACGCTGACGTGCCTGCGGCGCCCGTTGCAGCACAACGGGCGCTGCAGGCACGCCAGCGTGGACTGGGACTGGGCCTGTAATCTCTCAGCGATCAGCAACTCAGAATTTTTTTTGCACTTGGTGAGCCGACAAACGGCCCGTGCACAGATCCAGGAGCCCACTCCGTCTCGGTATTGCCGCTGTCAACTTTGCCAGAACGATGCATAGGCTCAAGCTCCAGGTCCTGCAAGAAAACCAGTCTGAAACAGACTGACTCTGCAAAAGCAAGACCATAAGAATGGTGGCTGCAGCATGTGCGTCTCAAATCAATGACTGGACACCCACATGCTGCAGCCACCATTGTCATTGGCTCCCGTGCTCCAGCTCCATGACTGCCAACACCATAAGAATGGTGGCTGCAGCACGTGCGTCTCGAATCAATGACTCGACACCCACATGCTGCAGCCACCATTGTCATTGGCGCCCGTGCTCCAGCCCCAGATTGCTCCAGCCCATAAGTGCTCCAGACTCCAGCCCACGACTGTTCCAGGGTCCAGCCCCCGAAAAAATCCACACCAGTGAACAAGCAATGCTAAACAGACTGCTCATAAGTGCTCCAGACACGCCAGACCCAATGAAAAAGCCATTGCTCGCGCCACTGCTCCAGGGTCCAGCCCCCGAAAAAATCCACACCAGTCAACAAACAATGCCAAGCAGACTGCTCCAGCCCATACGTGCTCCAGACACGCCAGACCCAATCAGAAAGCCATTGCTCGTGGCGTACTTTCAGCGTTGCTGGGGTTTAGGGTTCCGGGTTTAGGGTTTAGGGTTCGGGGTTTAGGGTTTAGGGTGTGTGATTGGTGGTTGAAGGTAAAAAAAGAGGCGCGACATGGTCTGAGCCAGGTCAAACGCACATTTTCACTCGCAACACTACATTTTGCACCATGAATGGGGCAGCCTCCAGCAATCACATGCACCGCATGGTCTTTCCCTCTTTGCAAGCCACAAAACACACATGTTCACTCGAAACACCCTATTTTGCACCACACATGTCGCAAGAGAGCTGCGAAACCGAAACAGAGAGGGAAAAACACAGGAACGACAACAGAAACGAAGTGAGCGAGGAGAGCGACACCGGGAGCGACGGGAGCGACACGGGGAGCGACGTGAGCGACACAGGGAGCGACAACGGGAGCGACGGGAGCGACACGGGGAGCGACGGGAGCGACACGGGGAGCGACGGGAGCGACACAGGGAGCGACGGGAGCGACACAGGGAGCGACGGGAGCGACACAGGGAGCGACGGGAGCGACACGGGGAGCGACGGGAGCGACACGGGGAGCGACGGGAGCGACACGGGGAGCGACACGGGAGCGACGGGAGCGACAAGGGGAGCGACGGGAGCGACACGGGGAGCGACACGGGGAACGACGGGAGCGACAAGGGGAGCGACGGGAGCGACAAGGGGAACGACGGGAGCGACAAGGGGAGCGACGGGAGCGACAAAGGGAGCGACACAAGAAACAACAAAACACATGCACAACACAAGCCCCCACCCCCACTCGGGCATTTATGCCTTTTTTTCGGCCTGCGCTCGCCTGAAGGCTCCCAAACATGCTTCTGCGACCAATTTTCCGGCTTCAAGCCCGAATCGGCCGCCCATATGGTACAACGCAGTGCCTGGCAGTGCCTGGAAGGCCTGACTCAGCTGCCGCCCTGCTTCGCTTTGCAAAAACTGAACTCAGGTGGTGCTTGGAGGGCCTCTCTGTCCTGACTGAGCTGTTTCTCAGCGTCTTGGGCCCGTCACACTACCACCACCACTGCCGCCACTGCCATAGGACGACCGAACCAATCTACCGGCCGCATCAAGCAAGTCAGCGACCGCTTCAGCGTCTGGATGCCTGCCCCCTGCGCCTGCGGCGTGGCCTTGGGATGGATCTGGTCCCGGTGGTGGCATTGGGCCAGCCGGTCCCTCACCTCCGCCGGGTCTGAGGCTGCGGCTCCGGCTGCGCGGCGTTGCTTCACGGGTTTCGACGGCCCGCCCTCCAAGGTCGCATGCTTGGACTGCCAGTGCTGCCAGTACGAATAGTCCGAGGCAAACGCCATCCTGCATGCTATGCAGATAATGGCTGCCTCGCCGCCGCTGCCGCCGCTGCCGCGAGCCACCTCGGACCTGCTTCGGAGCAAGAGAGCTTGGCCGCCGCGGACCTCGTCCGAATCTCTGCCCTCCCTGGGCTGGCGCTTCTTGGAACCGGCCTCTGTCTGGGGCTGGTGCTTCTTGGCACTGGCCTCGCTGGCCTCCGCGTGCTGCTTGCTGGTCTGGCGCTTCTTGGCACCGTGCTCCGCGTCCTGGGCCTCGTCCTCGTCCTCGGCCGCACGCAAGTTGATGTTGAGCTCCACCTGCTTCGCTTTGCAGTGGGCTGAACTCAGCTGGTGGTTGCGCAGGCCATGCTTCACCACCCACCTGCCGCACAGCGGGCACTGAATCTTCTGCCACCACTGCAGACCTCCCTCCGGCTGCTGCGGCTCCTCTGACTTCTGTGGCTCCTGTGACTTCTGCGGCTCCTGCGCCTTCTGGCGGCTGTCGGGCTTCGGGGCCGTGCTTTTTGGCGGTGTCATCGGGCTTGCGCTGCCGCGAGCCTGCTGCGGGACGGCGCCCTTTTTCGGCATTGCCTTGGTCTTCACGGGATTGGCTTTGCCGGGCGCGGGCGGCGCGGGCTGCACGGTGCCAGTGGCTATTGACCACGACCCCGGCGGCTTGTTTGGCCCGCTGGCATCACTCCCGACGATTGTCTGCGGCGCCAGACTCCCTGCCTTCGAAAGCAAGGTGCCCGTGCGTGTGGCCCGGGTTTCCTCGGTCTCCGACTCGGAGCTGCTGCGACGACCTGCACAGGGGGCAAAATACATAAGGAAACGCAAAAATTTACAGGCCAGACCCTTACAAGGGGCTTC